TTGTGAGTCACTATGTGGGTGCTGGGAATCCTGTACAAGAGCAACAAATGTTATTAACCACTGAGCCACCTCTGCAGCCTCTCCCCTTTTTAGACTTTTATTTGGAATGTGCATTTGTGTGTGTGTGTGTGTGTGTGTGTGCCACGTGTGTTCAGGGGTCTACTGAGGTCACCTATGGGATACCTAGGAGCTGGAATTACAGGGGCTTGTGAGCCACCTAATGTGAGTGCTGGGAACTGGACTCCTGTCCTCTGGAAGAGCAGCAAACACTCTTCACCTGAGCTCCTGCTCCAGGGCCATTAGCTATAGTTGCTTTTTCTTTAAAAAATGTTATTACTATTGTTTTATTTTATGTGTATGGATGCTTCGCCTGCATGTGTGTCTGTGCACCACGTGCATGCCTGGTGCGTGCAGAGGCCAGAAGAGGGTGATGGTCCCTGGGACTGGAGTTACAGAGGGCTGTGAGCATCCTGTAGATGCTGGAGACTGAGCCCCAGTCTTCTGGAAAAGCAGCAAGTGCTCTTTTTTTTTTTTTTTTTTTGGTTTTATGAGACAGGTTTTCTCTGTATTGTTTTGGAGGCTGTCGGTCCAGCCTAGCCTCGAACTCACAGAGATCCGCCTGCCTCTGCCTCCAGAGTGCTGGGATTAAAGGCGTGCGCCACCACCGCCCGGCTGCAGCAAGTGCTCTTAACTGAAAGGTCATCTCTCATCTCTCCAGTGCCTCTTTCAAAAATAGGATATTTTAATCAATTTCCCGAGAATTTCATACATGCACACAATGTATTTTGATCATATTTGCCTTCAACTCATTCTGCCAGTGTCTCCCAAATCCTCTTACTTGCTACCAGCATCATGTTGTTGTTGTTGATGATGATAGTGATTTAATAACCCACCGAGCTCAGTTTGCGCTGCCCATATATTCACGGGACTGAGGCCATTCACTGGAATTATCAGTGACTCCCTTAAAATAGGCTCTCCCTACTGCAAAAGCCATCAGCTGACGATAGCTCCTCTGACAGAGGTGGAATGAAACTCCATGCTTGAATATTGACTGGCCACCTCTTGTTCAGGCAGCCATGGCTACTGTGGGTTCATGAGTGTGGTGGTTCGGTCACAGCTAGAAGTCACCAGTTCTGCTCTCTTGGTCCCTGGGGGATGCACCAGTTCTGCTCTCTTGGTCCCTGGGGGATGCTCCTGTGCTGTCTCACCGGTGGTTTGTTGAAGGTGAGCTGGTGTGAACAAAGTTGTTTTTCACCAGGCATCAGTCAGTAGCCAGCAGCCCTTCATTTGTCCCATTTGTTTTCAGCCCCACTAATTTCCTTGCTTCCTGAAAATTCAATGGAACTGTAATAGGAACCGGCTCATTGAGTAAAGGCATGTGCTTCCAAGACCTGGCTTCCATCCCCAGAGTCTACATGGTGGGAGCAGAAAACTGCCTCCTTTGAACTGTCCTATACACACACACACTCACACACATACATGCTCAGACATATACACATACACACGCACACACACACGCTCACACACACAAGCTCACACACATACATGCTTATACACACACTCACACACACACAGGTGCACATGCACACTATAATAAAAAATTAAACAAAAATTATCTTTTCAGTCCAGAGACTGGATGTAGCAGGATAGATTCTTCTGGAAGCAGAAGCCTGATGGGTAGGGAAATCTTTCACAACTAAGACAGTGTTTTGAAAGCCAGGCTACAACGGGAACTTACAGAAACAAGCCAGGTTTCTGGTCCAGTAGATGAAATCAGCACTCAGTAGACATGTCCTCCTTATTCACGTCATGGAAGGGGAGGGAGAGCCACATGGCCAGTGAAGCAGGAGCATTTCTGAACAACTACCAGAGGCCAAATTTTGCAGAGATAAACTATCTGGAATCATAGAAAATTGCGGGGCAAAAAATATATACTTTCTATGTTTCCAAGAAATACAGAGGTGTGTGTGTGTGTGTGTGTGTGTGTGTGTGTGTGTGTGTGTGTGTGTGTGTGTATAGGACACCCAGGACTTCTATTCCTCTTGCACTGTTGTCTTTTACCACCCAGACTCTGTCGTGGGGACCTCACCTGCTCCGTCACTGGCCTGTCACTCCTCGGCACACCTGCCATTCCTCAGTGGCCAACTCTGGCACAGATTAATGCTCACCTTGGCAACCCCTGCATCTAATGTATGGCTGAGTGAGCACAGGCTCCAGCCACGGAACTGTCTGAATCCACAATGGAAGCCATGCTCGTGTGATCTGATTGCCGGAAAGGAAAGTCTGGAGTTCAAAAGGTGGCTGTGCACTGTCACCGCTTCTGAGACAGCTTCGACAAGATGAAACAGGGAGGCTGACCCCACCATACACTGCATGTCCATCTCAGGCTGTGACATTTAGTTTCTAGAGCGCTGGCTGCGGTACCCTGGGACCCAAAGAATGAAGACTGCCAGGCTTATGGAGTGACCGGCCCCCAGAAGCTGCTGACTGCCTGGGGAGTTGGGGAGAAGCAGGGACAGACGGCAAGATGGGAACCAAGTATGTGGTGCACCTGCCATCCATGAGCTGATTGACAGGTACCCACTCCCCATCTGTAGGCAGCTGCGGCTGAGTAGGGTGAGGAAAGGGAGGATGCCCCACTGTTCCCCCTTTGGTACAAGGAACCATCTCCCTCCAGTGAGAGATGGAGAAGGCAGTAGGCCCCTACCAGGTAGGACCATGCGTGGCTCCCACTTTTGCTGTTTGCAGTGTTCTTTCTGTCCTTGGTCAGCAGGGAATTCATTGGCCCCTATTATGCTGACATCTCTGTTTTGCCTCCAGTGGTCCTCTCTGTGGGCCACAACAGGTGCCAGTTCAGGTCCTAGGCCCTATTTCTGGCACAGGATATTGGCTGGCCATTTCTGCAAGAAGCAGCCAGACTCTCCGGTGTGACACCTCTGCCCATCAAGGGCCTAAAGGGAGGTTCTTGCACTGGGCTTCTATCCTGTTACTTAAGGTCCCTGACGATGCCTCCCTGGTGGGAAGAGGAACATCTCATCCTGTGTACGTTGGCTGTTTCTTTCTTCCCTGCATCAAAAGATGCTTCCTGGCCCAGGGGAGCCCCCATGGGACCACTCTTTGTAATGGCGGTAGATCACTCCATCTCTGCATGATTTGGGGGTTGTGCTGAGTACCTGCCCTCATAGATAAATGTCACAGGGCTGGGAGGATAGATGCCCTATGCCCTGGCTATGGTCTGGCCTCCTGTGCTTTGGGGCAGCAAAGTTAGACACTTGTAGCTTTAGCAGAAAAGCCCCTCCCAGTTGCTTTGAATTGTAATACAGGGTCTATTCAGAACTCCTGATCTGCAGACAGACTGAAACACACATGCATGTGTGCACACCCTCACACGTACACGTTACATTTACCCTATACGGATCCATGATTAGGTCTAATTAATAAAGCAAGCACAGGAAGACAGTAATAAGAGTAATGACAACAAAGGAAATTGTAACTATCATAATAAAATGAGAATATGGTCTCTTCAAGAATAAAAAAACAATATTTGCAGACTTTTGTGTTTGTAACTGAGAGGGAGAGAGGCAAAAGGAAGGGAAAGGGGGGCTATGGAACCCCCAGAGGAGGAGGATGCAGCCAATGTGGTTTCTGGGTGCTCAGAAGGTGGGCTGTCTACCCACAGGCAACAGAGTAAATTGAAAGGGGTCCCTGTTATTCTCCTTAGGAACTAATTTTATGGAAGGCAGTCCCCGAACCCTGAGATGCATCCAAGGAGATGGTTTGGTTGATTTTTCTCTGAAAGCTCTAGTGCCCACCCCCTGGGGCCCCCACCCACGCCACCTTGGGCTGCTATGAGTCTACTTCATGCCTTCCAGGGAGATGTCCAAACTAATGATGGAAAAGGTGAGAAGGCACGATGGTTTAAAGAAGGGTCACCATCAACTTAATGGAGGGAGAACAATTATCCTTCTGAAGACCAGGTTCATTAATGGCTCGGGCGAGGAGGTGACTTCACACCTTTGCAGAAGGATCAATTTGCAGGCTGCACGGTGACTCTGGACTTTCGGGGAGGAGGGACAATCTCCTCAGCTCAGCTAGGATCAGATGGGGCAGCTTCAGTCCCTTCCCTGGAGAAAGGACTGACCTACAGAAAGGCCCTGCATGGATTCCAGGGCATCGTGGTGAGCCTCCCCACACATGCCCAGGGGAAGGGGGGGTCTGCACCTAGCTCCTCTGGGCCTCCTTCTTAGCCCAGCCATGTGGGGTAGGCTGCACCCGGGCAGTTCTTGGCCCAGCTCTGCAACAACTTCAGGCTGTAGCTAACAGGGAATATAGAGAACTGAGATTAAAGAACCCAACAATACAAATCTTTCTTACACCAAGTGAGCGCCTGCCTCTGCAAAGGTCACAAGGGTGGGATCTGGTGTTTACTGTGTGGCCCTTGCTTTGAAGTACATAAGTTGAAATCTATGGGCCCACCTTTTTAGTTAGGTAAGAATAATACCAAATCCTATTGTATATGAAATATATATGAATACGTATCACTTGTGTGGTGTGTTGTTCTGAATATCCTGGCTTTCACCTGCATCCCAGACATTTGGGTCTCAACCACCTATGCATATATCATCACTCCACTGCGGCGTCCAGAAAAGAGACCTGAACCCAGCTCAGGACCCCCCACAAGCTGTGCCTGTCTCCATTTCCAGGGCCTGCCTCACACGTGGCTCGTTTTCTCCCGCTGCGTGTGCTCGGCAGGCAGCAGGAACTTGACAGCACTATCCTTCTCCCAGCCCCTGCGGATCTTGGCGAGTCTGAGGCCGAGGCAGGGAAGGAAGAAGAGGCCCTTGGCCAGGATGATCACGCAGGGCAGGAACAGTGTGAGTGTGAACGTAGGTGGCAGGTAGAACTTGTAGTGGTTTTCCTCAAAGGCCCGGGTCCAGCCGTAGGTGAGTGTGTGCAGCGTGGTCAGCATCAGGGCCACGAAGCCCAGAGAGGACTGTGGGAAGAAAGAAGGCAGGGATGAGAGAGGACGGCCACGGAAGCCAGGGCACTACTGTGTTCCAATCCCAGTGTGTGCGCGCGCGTGTGTGTGCGCGCGTGCATGTGTGTGTGTGTGTGTGCGCGTGTGTGTGTCAGGGGCCACCTTGGGGAAGTCGGTTTTCTCCTTCCCCAGGTGAGTCCCAGGGATGAAACAGCTTGGCAGGCTTGGCAGCCTCAACCCCGAGCCATCTTGCTGGCCCCAGCTCTGTGGCCCCTCCACTCCCCTTCCCTTCTGTACCGGGCTTCTCCTCTTCCAGTCTAGCCTCAAGCTCAGTATCTAGCTGAGGGTTACCTTGGCCTCCTGACCTCCCCACCTCTACCTCACAAGCACTCCCTGGAAGAGAGAACCCAGGGCTTGATGTGGGCAGAGCAAGCCCCACACCCCCTGAGCCACAGCCTCAGGACCCTCTGCTCTCCCTATGCATGATGCCAAGATCATTTCCTAAACCATCCATGTCTGAAAATGGGAGCCATACTTCCAGGCTAAAGACATTTAAGGATGGACAGACGACTATGCTTTTTGCCCTTTCTTTTGCATCCTCTTTTCTTCCAGCTATGGTGCTTGGACTTCTGATGACTCCCAGGAAATGTTTGGATAGAATTATATTGAAAATCCAAACCAGAATCTTACAAATACCTGACTGAGATGAGACTGAAATAAGAAGGGAATTCGTTATAAATTGTCTTAAAGAGAAACACAGGGAGCTGGGCATGGTGGCATGAGCCTTTAATCCCATCACTAGAGGCAAAAGTAGGCAGATCTCTGTGAGTTCAAGGCCAGCCTGGTCTACACAGCGAGTTCAGGACAACCAGAGCTACATGGTAAGACCCTGTCTCAGAGACACAGATGATAGAGAAACACAAAGTAAATAGTTTGTTCATTTGCATACAGGACTCAGTATCAGTAGTGAAGGTGGCTCCGGGAACCAGTGGTCTGGCGACCTGGCCCTGTATAGAAAGCCTCAAACAACTACCAAGATGTTCTTGGTTGGTGTCATCTCCTTCCTGCCCAGCACTAACTTAGAACCTTGTCAAGCGTACCACCCACTTGGAAAAAGTGAATGATGTGGCAGATTTATGAGTGTCACAGTTCCAGACAGAAATGTCTGAGCGTTCTTATAACAGGCTACCACCCTTGCACGTATAGGTAGCGTTTGCAAATCATTTCCAGGCAAGAGAAGCCAATGAACACTGGACTCTTGCTTTCTCTTTTCTCTTCCTCCTTTTGTTTTTTGAAACAGGGTTTTTCTATGTAACCTTGGCTATCCTGAAACTTGTTCTGTAGTTCAAGTTGTCCTTGAACCAGAGATCCACCTGCCTTTGCCTCCCAAGTGCTGGGATTAAAGGTATGCACCACCATCTTCTGACCCAGGTTGTATTCTCATGGACCAGACAGGAGATGCTGATCTTGCTATGCCTGCTGGGCTTGACTGGCAGTGGTCCTGGGCACCACGCATTATCAACTTCAGTGAGAAGCAGGGAATTACAACAGCAAGCCTGAGCAAGGAATGGGTGGGGTATAGTGTGCTGTGTGGGGCAAGAGGAGAGGTCTGGACATCTCTGGATGAATGCTGTGACCACTATGAGCCACTGAGGATTTAGGCTGGAGAGATAAGCAGGGGTCATCATCAAGCAAATAGCACTATTTATTTTCTCCAAGGAGCCATTGTGCTGGTTTAAATTAAAGTGGCTACATATTCATATGGCTGGTGTGCCATAGACATTGGTTTGGAGTTTCCTAGAAAGGATGCAGCTGGCTTCCTAGATTTCTTCCTAGCCAGGCTTGTCAGCATAGAGTTGGGGCCTTGGCTGGGAGTTGGGGCCTTGTGTGAGCTCACCTCAGACTCCATTCTCAAAGGGACCTGGGTCTGGTGGGGAGGGGGCTGGCTCAGTGGTAATGCCCCTTCCTAGCCTAGCATGTGGAGGATCCTGGGATCCATCCACAGCACAGCAAAACTAAAACAGAACAAAGTTGAATGGATGGGGCTAATCCTGCATTGAGCCTTATTCTTGCCACTTGTCCTGCTCTTGTGAAAAGCCAGGATGGGGAGTTCCAGCCGGAGAAAGAGCATCATTCCGAAGGCTTGGTTGTGATGTTCCAGTTGAGCATCACAGTGAGCATTTTCCAGTGCTGCACACTGTATTCATGGGTAGCTGCCTGGGAACATTCTTTTTCCTTTTTCCATTTGTGTGTGTGGGGCACATATGTATGTGAGTACACATGCACTCAGCGTGTGTGTGTGTGTGTGTGTGTGTGTGTGTGTGTGTGTGCACATGTGTACATGTGCAGGCCTGAGGTTAATGTTGGGAATCATCCATGATCACTCTTCCACCTTATTTATTGAGGGGCAGGGTCTCTCAATCAAAGCCCGAGCTTACTGATGAGCCTGGTTTCACTAGCTTATCTTGTTTAGGGTTCTGCTTCCACATTCTGAAGTTGGAATTATAGGTAGACCATTATGCCTACCCAGCATTTATGTAGGTTCTAGAAACCAAAACTCTGGTCCTCAAGTTGTGTGGCAAGCATTTTAACCAATGAGCTGTCTTCCTAGCCTTACTCCCACTACATTTTTAAGTAAAATACCCAAATGTAACGAGGACCACTCCCCCCGCCCCCGCATCTGATTTTATTTCTAAGGACTGGTCAATCGGAGGCTGGTTTCAAGTGGAAGCCGAATGTCAAAATCACTTGGGAAGCTTGGAGGAAACATGAAAGCATCAGTTCCTCCCTTGGAAATTCAAATTCAACTAGGTTAGGGTGGAGCTCAGTCATCTGTTGTTTTTCAGAGTTCAGCAGATGATACAAATGTGTCACCAGGACTAAGGCACTAATTTTGGAAACCCTCTCACCCACACCCTTTTAGCTGGAGGTTGAAGAACCCACGCAGGGCTCCAGTGCCCAGGTTGTTTTATTGGTGAGGGCCCAGCTCTAGCTCTTCAGAATAAAAAAAAAAAATCATGGGCCCCATGTGTGGCCACCGGCTTTCCACGACACAGCAGCAGTAAGAATCCACCGAGGCTAGGACGGTGGCCTCACAGAGGCCCTGCATCTCTCCCAGTGAGAAGGCCTGTACTGCCAGTGTTTGACCCATGTGGACCACTGTCTTCAGCACCTCATAGCCCCTCTTTTCTTGAATCTCATGATACACATGGTAGAAACCCCAACTTTGGGCTAGTAGTTTCTAGCTAGGGCTGACAGCCAGAAAGCCTTTAGATTTTCCAGTCCTGCTGGGAAGCCTGTATGTTTCCAGAGCATTTATTCTCCCTAAAAATCCTCTCTGTCCTTGGGAACAATCTTTAAAAAAATCTTAGAATAACCAAAGGAAATTAGAAGAAAAAGGGTTGTCATAAGGCCGTTAATAACCCCCACCCCCAGACACACACACCAAGCTAGAGACATTTTTATTACACAGAAGCTTGTTAGCTGTGGCTCCTGCTGGCACTCAAGTACCACAGCATGAAGGGGCTTTGGCCATTGCTCACCAGCTGCGGGTCAGGCTGGTCCCTCTTGTCATTATTTCAGGCAGTGGCTGCATCAAGCAAGGTTAGAACTCGGGCTTTCAGGGCTGCACCCGGGTTCTCTACACAGGTGCATTGCAGACTGCTAGGCACTGCAATGTCATGGAGTTTAACTGAATAGGGAGGGTTCAATACAGTAGGCACCAAATAAAAGCACCCAAACAAACGCACACGCAAACTGAAAACTTTGAAACCCACAGTGAATAAATAGTTGGGGATATAGCTCAAGAGTACATTGCTTATCTAGCATGAGCAAGTCCCTGGGATCCATCCCCAGCACTTCATAAGCAGACTGGTGAGCACACACATAATCTCAACATTTGGGAGGCAGAGGCAGGAGGGTCAGAAATTCAAGGTCACCCTCAGCTGTGTAGTCCATTGAGACTAGCCTAGGCTTCATGGGATTCTGTCTCCAAAGGGAAACAAACAAACAAGGAGTTGAGGGTATAATTCAGCTGGTTGAATGCTTGCTTAGCATTTACAAAGCCCCGGATTTCATCACAGTACCACAGAAATGGGTGTGATGGTACGTGCCTGTGACCCCAGCACTTGGGAGGCTGAGGCAGAAGGATCAGGCAGGCATTCAATATTTTCCTTGACTACACAGCTCAGGTTCGAGGCCAACCTGAACTATATGAGATCTTGCCCCTCAAACTAAATGAAATGAAACAAAATCCAAATCACCTTGGAAACAAAAGGTTAAATTCGGGCATAAGGAGACTTTTAATGGGATCACTACTCCAATGGCTCTCAGCTCAGTTAAACAGAGCTTTCTAGGCCCAGGCTCTTCGGAATACCAAGAGGTTTCTAAATACAATGGCTCCTCACTGCTCATGAACTTGACAAGAGGTCAAGAAAACCAGAGCTTCCCTGAAAAATCACCCAGCTGAACAAGGGCTGTCTCCAACTCTTTTACTGGTTTTTGGGACCCTACTCCTCATACTGGGTCACCATGTTCAGCCTTAATGCATGGAAGGTGCTTAGTCTTGATTTGAAGTGCTGTGTTTTATTGATACTCACTGGAAGCCTGCCCTTTCCCAGATGGAGGTGGAAGAGCCGGAGATTGGGAAAGTGGGGGAGGAGGAATGGGGGAAAGGGACTGGAAGGGAAGGATGGGAGAGGGGAGGCTGTGGCTGGTATGTAAAATAAATAGATTAATAAAAAAAATCCCCCAGCAATTACTGGGCACAGAAAACCTACATTTTCCATGTATCCCTGTAGGAGGAAGTCTGTATGTCGCCATTAACCATGTGACTTACTAGAGGCGCATACAGATGAGGTAATAAAAGGGCGGTTTACCACACCGCTAACCACACCCACTTTAGGCATGACTAAAGACGTATACGGCCAGACGTAAAGACATATACGTACGTAGGCGGTGAACTACGTCACTAGCCAGGCCCACTTTTGGGCATGGCTAGGGGGCGTTACGGGGGAAGGCATAAAAGACAGCACACAGGAAGTCTCGGTCTCTTTTCCGGGAGTTCGGCTTCTGGTTCGGCAGCGGGAAAACTACTTGGCTCATCTGGGTTACTTGTTTGGTATCTTGTGAGTAATTTCTACAATAAATACTTAGTTTTACTTTCAGTAAGTGTGTTGCTTATTGTTACAGCGTCCTTTGGAGCTACATATCCCATGTCCAAGACATTCTTGTCATGGTCTTGAGTTGCTACAGGAATGAGCCAGAGGCTCCAAAACATGTCTGATGGAGCAGGAAGGCCAATGGGTACCTTGGAACCGACTCTGTGTTTCTGCCACTGGAGGGCAGCATGCACATTTAGGGGTCACCGGACTTCCAGGCTGTCCCTGAGCATCTTAGCCCTTTGGTAGCAGGGTGGCCTGACATCTGTACCTCTCTAGAAGTGCTCTGTGGCTTTACTCTCACCCCCTGCTATGGGCATTTTTGATGGTGGCTGACAACAGGAGGTGCATTATGCATTACACATGCCCAGCATACAGCCAAGTATGACACAGAATCGAGAGGAAGACCCAGAGAGACAGTAGTAACTGGCTGCTCGTACGGTGATATGCACCGTAGTCCCAGCTAGGAGGATCCCAAGCCCAAGAGTTTGAGGCCAGTCTGTAATGCAGTGAGACCCAGCTCCAAAATCAAACAGAAACAGATGGTTGGTGCTTATCAGAGATAGTGGGGCTGTGACCAGACACCCCAAGAAGAGCAGCGATGTGCTGCTTTCCTTTCACCTATAATTTTTCACCGTGTCTCACAAAAAATTTCTCTTACAGCATTAGTTTCATTTTTCAGGAGTGTAAAATGAGGCTTAGGGGGAGGGGTGTAGTCTGCCCACACCCACAGAGCAGGTAGTGCTAGAACTGACTTCGGAGCCCCTGGCAAACCCTCCTCCATACTGGGGCTCTCGGGAGAGAGAGCATGAGGTTTCTGGGGCTACAGTGCAGGCATCAGACCCCCATAAATGAAACTACTCGCTTCAATATGTAAAGCAAAGCATGACTTCTGGAGTCCCAGTCAGCTTTTGCTAACAAAACCAAATCCATAGGCTTCCTCCAGCAGCCAGAGCCGGAGCATGTAATCTACAGCTGCTTAAGGGAAGAACTTTCTGGAAGGGGAAGCGACACACAGCCTGTTTTAATTGTGGCCAAACCATATACCCGGGATACTGAAGGCGGGAAGTGAAAAATCCGAGATTTGGGCATGAGACAAACAGGGATTAACAGCAGATCAAGAAAACTCCTTTCCTCCCCACCCTCTTAGGCCAGCATGTGTCAGCCCTGAGCCCTCCTCCAGGGGCCTTCCGAGAGAAGCACAGCCCTGGAGATTGGCAGCCATGCTTTAGAAATCAGCCACAACAGTTTGGTTCTAAGGTACGCTAAGGGTCCCAGTCACAAAGAATTAATTTGGGTTATATAAGAACAGTATTCTGTCACTGTCCCTCTGAGTCCTTGTTGAACAGAGAAGCTACAGATTTTGGTTGACAGTGAGGGTGGATATGGCTGTTCTCTGCCCTGATACAATACATCTATCATCTATCTGTCTGTCTGTCTGTCTGTCTGTCTGTCTGTCTATCTATCTATCTATCTATCTATCTATCTATCTATCTTTTATCTATCATCTATCTTATGGAGATTTAAACAAGAGCCTTGCATATGATTAGCAAATATTCTGCCTGTAATGTACGTGACACCCCGGTCTTCATACCTTTTCTCTGGATTTGTCCAAGAAACAGCACCATTTAGGAAACACTGTTTCATCCACCACACAGCAGTCCTCACACTTAGTTCCCCCCGTCCCACAGGGGAACAGAGCACCAGGCTGAGCTGAGGGTGTGTGTGTGTGTGTGTGTGTGTGTGTGTGTGTGTGTGTGTGTGTGTGTGTATGTGTTGGTGAGGTTGAGCTGAGCTGAGGGTGTGTGTGTGTGTGTTGGTGAGGTTGAGCTGAGGGTGTGTGTGTGTGTGTGTTGGTGAGGTTGAGCTGAGCTGAGGGTGTGTGTGTGTGTTGGTGAGGCTGAGCTGAGCTGAGGGTGTGTGTGTGTGTTGGTGAGGTTGAGCTGAGCTGAGGGTGTGTGTTGGTGAGGTTGAGCTGAGCTGAGGGGGTGTGTGTGTGTGTTGGTGAGGCTGAGCTGAGGGTGTGTGTATTGGTGGAGGGAGTTTTAAGCGCACTCACAGATCACTGCCTCCCACATACACCAGGATCCTGCAATGACTCTGTATGAAAGCTCCATGTTCCCTGAGAAAGTTCAGCCCAGGGTTCCATGCTCTGTCCTCCCTCCTTGTCAGATGTGGCAGACTTCCCAGGGTCAGGAAGATTAAGTTGCCCTGGTCAAGCTGAAGCACGATCAGGAGGCTGGGAGACCCTACAAGATAGACATCTGACCCAGTGTCCTGTTACAACCAGGATCTAAGCTGAAATAGTTCATAGAACGCAAAACCAGGGTGGACCAGGGCCAAGCTGTAGCTGGTTCTCAAGAGGACTCTGCTTTACCTGCACAAAACTGAACTCCTTCCAATTGAGTGAGTTGGCAATGGATGGAAGTGAGGTGACAGCCAGCAGTGACAGTGTACCCAGGGCCAGCACACCCAGGGAGAGGTAGATCTCCATGCGCCAGACTTCTTCCTCAATCCAGAGGTGGCTCTTGTTGGTCAGGACCTGGCAGAAGAAAAACCATGACCACGATTAACAAAAGCTGGCACCCTAGAGCCTGTGTCATCCTAGAACGTGTATGAATACAGCAAAGGACAAGAGAAAGCCATAGCTATGCTCACGCTCTGCTGGACAGCTAGCATGTGTGAGGTACATCCTAAGTGCTCCCCAGGTATTTGAAAGCCACACTGGCTGGAGAGATGGCTCAGCAGTTAAAAGCAATTGCTGCTCTCGCAGAGGACCCAAGTTTGGCTCTTGGCACCCATGTCTGACAGCTCACCCCCACTTGTAATTCCCACTCCAGGCTCTGACGCCCTCCTCTAGCCTTCAAGAGCACCTGCACCCATCTGCATATACTCATACATGGACGTACAGAAGTTATTAAAAATAAATCAGGTGGTGGTGGCACAGGCCTTTTATCCCAGCACTTGGGAGGCAGAAGCAGCCAGATCTTGGTGAGTTCAAGGTCAATCTGGTCTACAGAGCCAGTTCCAGGACAGCCAGGACACAGAAAAACTTTATCTTGAAAAAAACAACAATCACTAACTAAATAAATAAAATCTTTAAAAAAATCATTAATCTCATGATGTCCCCTTGAGATAGAGAGCACTATATGCCCATGTTAGGGCTCAAGGAAACAAGAGACAGAGATTGAGTTGGTTTCTCAAAGTCACAGCTCCCTTCCTGGCTGCTGGCCAACCTCAGCTTGAGGGTAAGAGATCAGAGAGTCCCAGGATATTTAGACCCTCAGCTGGGCATGGGGATGCATGCCTGTAATTCCAGCACTTGGGAAGGTAAGTCAGGAGGGTCACTGGTGCAAATCTAGCCTGGGCTACTCATTGAGAATGTCTCATATCTAATCCCCATCAACAAAAACAAAGTCTGTGTTCCCTAAGCACGGCTGTACCGCATTGTTTCCGGAACCCCACAGTGCAGGACAGTGGAAAGGTAGCGTTTCAGGATTGCGTCCCCTCAGTCATAGGCTCACAGCTCTGCCAGCTGCCTGCCCTCCCAGCTTCCTCCTGTCCCAGCTTCTCACCTGGACCCTTTCCAACCTGCTTCATTACTGGCTTGCACTCAGGACACACAGCAACACTCAATGCTACCCCCCAGCCCCAATCTCCAAACTCAAAGCCCCCAGACCCCTTCCTTTCAATGTGTCCTTCTCTCTCTGAGGCACATAGCTCTGGCTCAGTTGTTGTCAGGCAATGGACTGACATCCCCTCACCAGTTAGTTCAGCAAGCACTTAGAAAGTACCTACTGTGTGCTGAGCCCTGAGCTACAAAGAATGAGAACATCGACCATGATGATGTTCGTGACTCCCAGTGAGCTCCAAGGACACATTCATCAGGGATGCTCTGCAGCCCTGAGATGCCCCAGTCCCCCCATCCAATCCCCCCCCCCGCCCCCCCATGGGCACTCCCTGACCCAGCACTTGCATAAAGAACTGGAATCAAGGTCCTTCCGTTAGGACTATCATCATTTCCCAGCTCAGTCCTGAATACTAGTCCTTTAATCTGCCATCAGAAAAGCAAGAAAGCCTCCCCAAGGAAAGAGGACTAAGCAGACTGCTCTCTGTCTCTGCTACAGAATGACTCAGCCGTGTGTGTGTGTGTGTGTGTGTGTGTGTGTGTGTGTGTGTGTGTGTGTAACTACTTCAGCAGGAAAAAAAACAAATTCGTGTAAGCCTGTTACTGGAATAAAATATTAAAAATGAATCCAGGGGCTAAGCAAAAATGGCTACAAAGCTTATAAAAGAAACGAAAAGAAGTTAAAAAAAATACCATCTATGGCCACTCTGCCTGCAGAGTGGAAAAACGTTGCCTGGTTTGTTTTTTTGAGACAAGATCTCGTGTAGCCCAGGCTGTCCTCCAACTCACAATGTAGTCAAGGATGACCTTGAATTCTGATCTTCCTGCCTCCACTTCCCAAGTAAGTGCATTAATTTCAAGCACATTGTGTCACACTGCCAGGTTGTGGGCGTTGCTGGGATGGAACCCAGGGCTTTGTGCATGCTGAACAAACACTCTACCGGCTGAGCTGTATCCCGTTTCCCACTCTGTATTATTTTAGGCAGGTTACTTCAGATTGGTGTCTGAAGGACACAAAGGACCAGGAGTTGGGAGACTGGCTTCTTCCCTGACCACTAACTAGCCTTGTGGGACTCTGAGACACCATCTCTGGACCAGTTTCTTTATCTGACATAGCCAAACGAGCTGGGATTTTGGCTGGTAATCACGATGTGGTAAAACCAGCTGGGACATCATTTGCCAGTGGGGAGAGATGGGTCTGACCCTGCCAGAGCAGCCACTGAACAAGACTGACTCACGGCGGCTGGCGTTAGTGAAGCAAGTCGTTTCCATGAGCTCTGCTGTGCACTCATTACTCATCAGCCTCATGAGCTCAGGTGGCTAATATCACAAGTCCGCTGTGCATGACTGCACTGTAGTCAACAGTGGCTTGAAAAATGGATGCTCCACCCGCCTTGCAGTGCTGAGGAGGGAAGGGCAGGGAGCATGCCTGGGGGTCTGGACCATTGCCACATTTATGGTATGAGTGCATGTGTGTTTTAGTTTGTGTGGAGGCCAGGGGTCAACACTGGGTGACATTCTTCAGGAGTTGTCTACCTTGTTTATTAAGATGATTTCTTACTGAATGTGGAATGGGATTTGCCTGTCTCTGCCTCCCCAGTGCTGGCATGGCTGGCATAGGCCGTCACTCCCAGAATTTTTACATGGCTTCTGGGGATTGGGTGAGCTCAGATCTTCATGCAAGGCAAGAACTTTGTCAAATGACTCTCCCATGATCATAGTCAGCTAAGTTTTACCTCTTCTCTAGTGGTCCAATGCTGGTTAGCTTTGGGGTGAGGAAGAAGGGAAAAGCTGCCTGTGGGTCAAATGTTGCTTTTGACCTTGACTTCTGACTAATCAGGAAATGCATCTCCAGGAACAGCCCAGGGAGGTCACAAAGTCATGCCAACACCAGTTAAATAGTAAGGATGCTGTCGCAAACATGATCTTGAAGGTCTTGGCATCCCAGATAATCTCGGAGGGGTTTCCTGTGTCCCTGTTAATGTTAATGTGCTCCCTATTCCCACAAGGCCGTGCAGCAGCCAGTGTGAGAGCAGTGGCCAGAGAGGCACTGTCTGAGGTGGCTAAGAGAGGGCAAGGGTGGCTGCTTCCTGCAGGTAAGGAAGGCTTCAGGGATGGGATACAACACTCCCCAACAGTGTCCAGGCCTGGGACCCAGAGGCACAGCCGATCAGTGGCCCACCAGTCATCTGCCTAAACACATCCAGGTTGAACTGGCTCATCATTTACCAGCCTTTCTCTGTGTGTCACCTCAGACATGCTCTATCAGCATGGCTCTCCCCTTGAGAATCTGGCAAAATAGCTGAAGCCCCTTTAGGGGACAGACTATGTCCTATAAGAGTGAGACGATTCACAAGTACCTTCTGGGACATGAATTTGGTGAGAAGACAACACTGGGTTAATATAACTCCAGGGGGGGTCTGGGCCAGGCAGAAAATGTAGAGAATGACATAGATTAAGAGAGAGGGAAGATGGCTCAGTCAGTGGCCACATTGTTGGATCAACATAAAAAAGCTGGGTATGATGACATGTGCTTGTAACCCCAGCACTGAGGAGGCAGAGACAAGTAGATCCCTGAGGTTCACTAGCCAGGCAGCATAACCTACCTAGCAACTTCCAGGCAAGTGAGAGACCTTGTCTTAAAAAATAGAACAAAAAAACAAACAGAAAGTCCCCCCCAAAAATAAGGACAAGACCTAAGGTGGATAGCGTTTAAGATTGACAGCCTAGATTGTCTCTGCCTCCATGTGTACAGGCACACACACTTATGTGCCCCCACACGCATTGCACCTGCACACAGGTAAGCATGCACACGCACACAGAAAAGGAGAATTTGTCAGGGCTGGGGAGGGGACAGTGGCTTCCTCTGCGCGCTGGGTGAGGGTGGCCCTTTCCTCCTCAGCTCTACACTTGCCGACTCGGCAGACAGGGCAGAACACACAGGGCTTGGAGGCCTGCATCACTATTTACAGGGCAGGACACGCTGTCTGAAGCCCCTTCAGGAGTACATGGCTCCCACACCAAGGGAGCTCAACTTTTGCAGAAGACAATATCAACGTGGATTTATTACAGGTCTGTGATCTCAATTGCCTTAGGAAGCTGAGGCAGTAGGATCACAACTTCTAGGTTATAGATGAGTTTAAGGATACTTGGTGAGACCCTGTCTCAATTTTAAAAAAAGAGAGAGAAGAAAAGGAAGAAAAGGGGGGATAGATATGTAACTCTGTGGTAGAGTACTCATTTAGCTTACATGAGATCCGGAGTTTTATCCCTAACACAGTAAGACAAGAACAGCAGAAACAGTGCAGAACATAAAAACCATTAACACTAAGAAATGGCAGTGACTTATGCACTGGGACCCTGAGGTCAAAAGGGCTCGAGGCTTATAGTGATTGTTTTATTTGCACTGATTATTTATACTATTTTATTATCTTGTTTTTGAGACATGGTTTCATGTAACTCAGGCTGGCCTCCAACTCACTAAGTAGCCAAGGATGGCCTTCAACTTCCTGCCTCCATCGCCCAAGTGCTGCTCTTGTAAGTGTGCGTACACATACACACACACACACACACACACACACACGCGCGCGCGCACACACACGCGCACACACACACGCACACACACGCGCGCACACACACTTATGTGGTGCTGGAACTCCAATCAGGGATTCACACGTGCTATGCAAGCACTCAGACCACAGTCTGGGTTCTAGTCAGTGGTGGGGGATGAGAGGAGCTCTGATCTTCAGGCCTCCATGCCACCCCACGCCAGCTGAGACCAGGGGCAAGACTGTACCTTTTTTGCTCATTCTTGGGAACAGGGCCTTATAGAGCGAGTGCCCAGGGAATGAATGAATGACTCAAATTCTGAGATCATTTACTCAACTGTTAATTTGGTTTGTTTTTCTGTAGAAAGCAATATGGGCACCAGCATGGCTCTGGTATAGAACGGTCAGTTCTGGATTCTAAGGCTGCTGTGTGTCTTCAGTCTAGTTACTCTCCCTCTCAGGGCCTTGGTTTTTCTCATCTGTGAAGATAGTATAGTACAGCACTTTCACTAAGGAATGCATGGGGGGGGCAGATGAATCCACCATGGTTTGCACAGTTCTTCTGGTGTACTTGGAACACAGTGAGCTCCTTTGGAAGAACTTGTGACTATTATTTTTTCATTTCTTAGGTCCAGCCAGGGCCTCACTCCCTTGCCTGAGTCCGGTGCTTCCCCTCTGAGCAAAGCCTGAGCCCACGGAGGTGGTGCCAGGTGCCTGAGGTGGGCGGGGTGGAGGCCTGGGGTCCTGCAGTGGTGTGACCTCACTCCTGTGTCCTCTGTGTCCCTAGGTGAGCGTGTCAGGGTGGGGCTCGGCCTCATGGGGTCCCTGCACCCTGAACAGCTTCTGGAGCCGGAGTGAGAGTAGATGAGGTGAACTTTGTTAGCACTGGGCTGAACCCTGCTGGGTGACTGACGTCCTACATGTGCCCCAGGCTGACATGGAAAAAGAAAGCGGAGACACGTAGGTAGAGTCCTGGACTTGGGGCCAAGCGTAGAGAACTGAGCAGGAAAGCAAGCAGCGCGGTGGGCAAGCAGCTTCTGCGTCCACTGCCGCCTGTTCATGCCACCATTCCGACTCCCTTGGCTCAAAGACCTCCGCTGCTCAAGAACCCCACTGGGCAAAGTGGCGCCATATGGCTTTCTTAAATGAGTAAATAAGACCACATCGCAGTTAAACATGAGAGCTAAGGCAGCATCTCAGTTGGTAAAGTGTGAGGATCTGCGTTTGAATCCTAGTACACACGAATAAGCTAGGCATGGGCTGGGGAGATGGTTCACTGAAAAATGCTTGCCACAAAAGCATGAGGTCACATGCACTCAGGCACACATGTATGTGCGCACATACACACAACACACAACACACACACACACACACACACACACGCACACACACACACACAATGTTAATCCCAGGGATGCAAAGATGGGAGGTGGAGACAGGTAGATCTGGAGCTTGCTGGCAAGTTATAAGATCTGACTCCAGATTCCCCAACCCCACATAATGCTAGATGCTGTAGTGCACAACTACAGTCCAGCACTCCCGTGGAGAGGAAGGATGCAAAGACAGGAGAGTCTTAGAAGCTTGAAGGACAGCTAGTGTAGGGTAAGCAGGGAAAAGACAACAGACTCTGCCTCAAACAAGGTAGAAGGTGAGGACCAACTTGACTGCTGCAAGTGCTTCACTGCAGGAACCCACACTTACAGGCAGCACCACACCACACACACACACACACACACACACACACACACACACACACACACACACACAGAGACACACACAGACACACACACACAGAGACACACACACATACACACACGCACACACAGACACACACACAGACACACACAGACACACACAGAGACACACGCACACACACAGAGACACACGCACACACAGACACACACAGACACACACGCGCACACACAGACACACACAGAGACACACACACGCACACACAGACACACACAGACACACACGCACAGACACACCACACACACAGACACACATACACACAGACACACACACACAGAGACACACACACAGACACACACACATGCACACACACACACACAGAGGTACTCTCTTCCTGCTGTCTTCCATCTCATTGCTCAAGAACTTCTATATCTGCTCTCTGCTGTAATTCTGCATGAGTGAGGACAGTCACAATGGTACCCAGAGAGCTCACAGGGGAGACGGTGGGTCATACCTGCTTCACAGCCAGATTGACCAGGTCATAGCGGTGGGAGCGGCGCAGGGGAAGGCAAAAGCTGTAGAGAGCATGCAGCACCCCGAAGAAGAAGCTGAGCAGCCCGATCTGCTTGCGATGTTGCAGCCAGTGGTCCAGCCAGTCCGGGAAGCGCTGGTACTTGGTTCCCCTCCTCAGCTGAAGGGCAGCTGCCAGCACACCAGGCAGGTATACCAGGGACAGCAGCACATAAGCCACACAGGGTAGTGTGGTGTTGACCACAGACAAAGGCATCTTGTAGAACTTGTTCTCATGCTTCCGCACGTATGGATGCAGTACATCCCGGATGAAGTTGTAGGAATAGAAGAACACAAAGAGCCCCAGTGCCAGAAGGGTGGGCACCTTCCAGGAAGGGAAGAGGCGCAGGGGTATGGCTTCTATCTCCCGGGCTGAGGCCAGGGATCCCATGTCCAGGGGTGTGAAACCCATGGCACGTGCCATCTCTGAGATGGTGTGCTTGGCTTCCAGCTGGTCGCTGCAGATGAGCACCTGTAGGAAGAAAGAGGGGGACAGTTGGCCAGAGTCACAGGTATGGGCATGAGTATGGTGACCGCCAGGGTCAAGCTCCTCAGTGATTTGAAGAAACTGAGGCACAGAGGGGCAGGCACCAGTGAGCGGTCAACTGACTGGTACAACTAAGAGATACTCATGCCGAGGATCTGGGAATGGAGACCCTGTGGACTCCGCTGGAGATGAAGAGACAAAGCTCTCCCTGTGGGTGTCTTGCTGGCTCAGTGACATCACTGTCACGGCAGATGCTCAGCTCAGCAGCCCCTGCTGCCTCTGGAACAGCTGCTTCTGAGGACTGACTGCTCAGTGACTGCCTCTTGCAGGTGGTCGCTGCAGATGCAGAGCAGCCGCGGGTACATCCTCCAGGGCAGAGGTGGTCTCTATGGTACTCTCCCTTGATTCCACAGAGACCTCAGTCCCCAGCCCTGCCTGCCCTGCCATCTCAGCCTGCAAGTCCACTGCACCTCCTGGGCTCCAGTGAAAAGACATATTGGTATCTTTGGGTCCCCAAGGACCCTGAGGGCCCCTGTTGACACAGCTGAGGTCTATCTAGTATCCAGCAGTAAGGCTGTTTAAGTAGTGAGTGATCTCAGCCTCCTGCACAGCCTGTAGGTCAGCACTAAGATGAACAGACTAGAGTCCTAGAGCCTTGGTTTTTACTCTGGTACCTATGCAGGCTGTCAAATCAGCCTGGTGTGCCCTCTCTACTTCCTGATCCTGAGTCTAAGACCAGCTGAGGGTCTTCTCCAGCAAGTCCTCTTGCTTTGTCCCCTCCAAGCCCTCTGTCCTAGTCAGCTTTAATTGTCAACATGGCCATTAAGTCACCTGAGAGGAGAGCCTCAATTAAGCAATTGCCCAAATCAGATGAGCCTGTGGGCATGTCTGTGGGGGGTTGCCTTCATTGTTAATTGATGCAGGAGAGCCCAGCCCACTGTGGGAGGCACCATTCCTAGGCAGGTGGTCCTGCACTGCTGTGTAGAAGAGCTAGTTAGCCATGAGCCTGAATGAGCCAGTGAACATGTGTGGTTTCTGTTGTACTTCCTTGGCTGTGAGTGAGTTCCCCGCACAGCATGAATAAATAGCACAGAGGCCTGGGTTCTTACCTTGACTTACTCCAGTGACGGCCTGTGGCCTGTAGGCTGCCTCCTACATTGCTTTTAGGCAGTGTTTTTATCAGCAACAGAAAGGAAGTAAGAGCACCATATAAAAATCTGCCTGTCTAGTCCCGCCTGAAAGTGCCAAGGTGCAGTCAGTCACATCTAGGTCACGCAGTGAGGAATAGCCAGGCACCTCAGGGTTCTCTCAGACCTGGGCCCTGGATAGGTTTATTGGTGGACATTCTACCATAGGTATGGAGTCTGGGTTTCTTTTGGTTGCGTGTGGTGTTTGTGAGGACGTAGGCATGTGGGTACATATGAGTTCATGTGTGCGTGTGTGCATATTGAGGGCAGAGGTGAAGTCAGGTGCCTTATCCTATGCCGTTCCACTTTGGTTTTTGAAATAGGGTTTCTCACTGAATCAGAAGCTTGCCTTTTTGGCTAGACTGGTTGGCTACCAAGCCCTGGGGGTTCCTGCTGTTTCTGCTGCCCAGTGCTGGGATTACAGCCACTACATACAGTTTTTATGTGGATCTAAACAGTTCTAATGGTTGCATGGCATGCATTTCATCCACTGCACCATCTCCCCAACCCCAAAATATCTCCTTCTCAACTCCCAAGTCAAGAGCCACCATCCTTTCCCTTGTCCGCTGAGGAAACCCAGTTACCATCTCAAAAAGAGCATGGATCCCACGTTCATATAAATAGGGTTCAAATCCCAACTCACCAGTGCTGGGCTAAGATCATTAATGTCTCCAAGCTTCGACTTCCTGCTGTGCAAGATGAGACTTTAGAGCAATGTGAGGGATGCTGGCTGTCATCCCCTAGCACCTACCTGCCTGTTCCCATCCTTTGGGCCAGCCTGCAGGGCCCAGGCAGAGATGACATTGAAGGCCTTGACCACAGTGCAAGCGGGGAAGAGTGAGGCCAGGTACTCGGCGTTCGACTGCTGTTGCTGAAGATGCTCTTTCTCGGTGGGGTTGCTTACATCCACTAGGATCTTGCCAGCCAACTGGTCACTAAGACTGCACAGTGAGGAATAGTGCTCCCGGAACATGGCTACAAAGATGACCTGTGGAGAGCTCACAGCCTCCTCCTGGAAAGTCACTTGGGCTGCGGAGGGGAAGAGGCCAGCTGTGCGTTTGGGGTTACGGCTGCCTATCACCACGCTGAAGCCAGAGCCCACCAGGCGTGTAGCCAGGGAGCGGGCAAAATCCCCACTGCCCAGGATGCCCACTTTGGGGGACTTGTTGGGGACCTCAGCCAGACTGCCATCACTGTCCACCAGCCGGCGACTGATGAGTGGCTTGTCCATCTCCCCCGACATTGCGGTGGCTGCAAGAGAGTGCAGAGACCTGATCACTATTGGTTTCCCAGGGTATCTGGTCCACTATCTCCCACCTTGTGTCAAACATGGCTGCTCAGGCCTTCATCCAGCAGATATTACTAAACATTCCATTTGCAAACACAGGGAACAAGCTGAGCAAAAGCAGCCCCTACCCGGATGAGGACACATATGCACAGGGAGTGGGGAGACTCCTTCCCGCTGAGGAAGGCTGAGAAGATGTATCAGCAGGTAAAGCCCTTGCCATGCAAGTATGAAGATGAGAGATTGGATCCCCAGCGCCCACATAAATGCTGGGTGGGCACGAAACTCAGAAAGCAGAGAGGGGGATTCCTGGAGCAAGCTGAATAGCTAGAATAGTCATATTGGTGAGCTTTGGGTTCACCTTGAGAACCTGCCTCATTGAGTAAGGTGGAGAATGACAGGGGATGTCGGCCAGCCTACATACCACACACGGACACATGGGGAAAGAAAGAAGACAGGAAACTTAAGAGGACATGGGGGCCGGGTGTTGGTGGCGCACGCCTTTAATCCCAGCACTCAGGAGGCAGAGGCAGGTGGATCTCTGTGAGTTTGAGGCCAGCCTGGTCTACAAAGTGAGTTCCAGGACAGCTTCCAAGACAATACAGAGAAACCCTGTCTCGAAAAAACCAAAAAAAAAAAAAAAAAAAAAAAAAGAGGAGATGGGAAAGGGGAGAGGATTCTGGCTGAAACCTCTCACCAACTGAGAAGTCAGAATTCCAGCACAATGGACAACGCTGTGACGTTGCCATGACGGTTGCTGACACTGATTATACTTGCTTCTACACAGAAGAATGGTTACGTAGCAATGACCTGGGATGGGGAGATGGCTCAGAGGATAACGTCCTTGACGCACAAGCATGAGAATCCACGTACAAAAGTCAGGTGTGGTCCGTGTGCTCCTTTGTGCAGTCAGGCAGATCCCTTGGGAACCATGGGCCTGCCAGACTAGCTAAATTGGTTTCAGGACCCTGTGAGAGACCCTGCCTCAAAAAAAAAAAGGTGGGGAGTGACTGAAAAAAGACATGTGACATTGATCTCTAACCTACACACACACACACACACACACACACACACACGCACACACGCACACACACATGCACACGCAAATTAAACAAGTTAATAGTGCACTCCTTACAAGGTTGCAGAAGTAAGTCGAACGGGGCTAGGCGTATCTACACTCACAGGTGTCATATGTCCTGAGAAAGCATCGGCTGCAGGAGCAGCCCCTTCTGCACCAATGCCAGGCATCTCTTAGGCCCTAGAGATTAGAGATGAGCCAAGGGAAGTCAGGGCAAGTGCTCTGAAGTTTGGTAACAGAGACCCTCCGTTCAGCCACCTAGAACCTGGGGGCATCCCACCTGAACCCAGAAGGCTTCCAGACTAGAGTGTCTATGTTTGCTAACCACCGGATGGTCTCAGAAGCCTGGGTGCACAGAAGTGTGTCTTTCATCTCTACTCTCAAATTGCTGAGACAGGAGAATAGGGCAGAGAATAAGGTTGGGGAAGGCTTTGTGCAAAACCTTACAAAATCAGCATATGCAAACTGGCAGGGGGAAAGCTTGAAACCCTGGGTCTTGGCAACTAAATCAGGCCACTAGCACAGGGGTGTGTGTGTGTGTGTGTGTGTGTGTGTGTAAGAGAGAGAGAGAGAGAGAGAGGCACATATGTGTGCACAGCTGTGAGTCTGTATGTATGGACAGAGGACAGCCTTGTATGTTGGTCCTCACTCTGCCGCGTTTGAGACGGGATCTGTTGTTTCTCCTGTGCACACAAGGTTAGCTGGCCCAGGGACTTCTGTCTTCACTTCCCATCCATCTCCCCATTGCGATGCTGGGGTTACAGACACTCACTACCATATCCAGCTTTTTTGTGGGTTCTGAGGATTCGAATTCAGATCTTCATGCCTGCACTGCAAATGCTTTCTACCCACTGAAGCATCTCCCCAGCCCCTGCCCTCACAGTTCTTCATGGGCCTGCCGCTGGTCTGATGGCCGTGGGGAGGGACAGAGCGGTTGGCACACATCCTGGAGTTCTGAGAGGCCCAGAAGTCACTGCTGCCTGTGTGTTTGGTGGAGTAGAGTTTGAGTAGTCTGGTCTGGCCTCTAGCTGTGCCTGGCCCCTGATGCAGGATCTATTTATAGACTGAGGGCACAGAGGGAGAGGGGATCCAGTTGCAGTTGGTGGACCTAGGTCTGTAGCCTGCATACAGATCTACTCAGCACCTCCCTGCCAAGCTACAGACAAAAGAGCACTGTGGCTGGGGTGACCCAGTCCCCTCTGGGTCTCTGCCAGCTCCTCGTCCCATCTCACTTCCCAGGAGAGCGAAATCATGGATTGCAATTTTGGCACTGATGTACAACCAACGTGCCAGCCCCTGCCTGCTCTTGGGTGAGCACGAATGAGGACAGTCCTGCAGCCAATGGCCCTAGCCTTTTCTCATGGGTTGCGCCAACTCTTCAGGTTCTAAGTGGTCATGGATGGCCACCAGGGATCCTCTGGGTACAGTTATCCTTACAGATTACAACACATATTAAAGGAAAAGCAGGCAGATTCCCTCCAAAACCCATGATTACCTCAGACTGCCAGGGATGCCCATATATTATCCTTGGGTGTGTCCACATTCCAGGGATGCCCATATGTTATTCTTGGGCATGCCCACACTCTAAGGATGAAGCCCAGGAATTTGAATACACGAAGGCCCAAATTCATTCTACCACCAGTCTACACCCTCTGGCCACCCATGGGTTTGTTTCTTCTTTAACCTTTGTGCGTGTGTGCGCGCGTGTGTGTGTGTGTGTGTGTGTGTGTGTGTGCGCGCGCGCGCACTTTCTTGTGCTGTTGTGAGGGTGGGAAGAAAAGGTTGAAAGGGTGTGCACATCCCCACAGACAAATGAGGAGGTCAGAGAACAACCTGGTTGTTGGTCCTCACCTATCGCCCTATTTGAGGTGGGGTCTTTTGTTGTTCACTACTGTGCACAACAGGCTAGGTGGGCTGCAAGCTCCAAGGATTCTCCCATCTCTGCTACCTGTCTTGTCATAAGAACACTGGGAGTCCAGGTACGTACCACTGCACTCGGCTGTTATGTAAATTCTGGGAATCTGAACTGAGGTCTTCATGCTTGCACTATATAAGATCTCTACCCTCTGAGCCATCTCCCCAGCTTTTTTTTTTTTTAATTTGAGGAAGGGTCTCATGTAGCACAGGCTATCCTCAAACTCATTGTATAGCGGAGGATAACCTTTAACTCCTCCTGAGTGCTGGGATTAGAGGTGTGCACCATCACAACTGATTTTGGAGTCATGGGAAAGAGAACCCAGGGCAGTCATGTCCCCAGCACACCTGTCTTACAGAATATTTTTATTCCTCAGCCTCATCTCTCATGGTCAGGACTTTATTGAAGATGTTTGCCTCCGACAGTCCCTCCTAGACCCAGGTCTTGCTAACCTAATACACATAAGCGCCCCCCACTCCCCTCCATGTCCACCAACCCGACACTAAAATGTTAACCCACAAGAACAGAGAGGACCTTGGAAAAGCCCAGATCTGATAGGGACTTTTTCCCGTATTCACCGGCTGAGCTGTCTCACTAGCCCAGAAGTGAGAAGTTCACACACGGCATGGAAATGGAAAGTGGTGTGGTCCCTGTGGAAGATCTTTCTGAAAATCCTCCTAAAGTTAAGCAGTGAGTTTCCCACAGCCCCAACCATTCTGCTCCCAGGAGAAATGAAAACACATCCATATGAGAATACACATTAACAACATTTACGCTGGGCAGTGTTGGCGCACGCCTTTAAAAGCACTCGGGAGGCAGAGGCAGGAGGATCTCTGTGAGTTCCAGACATGCCTTGTCTACAAGAGCTAGTTCCAGGACAGCTTCCAAAGTCACAGAGAAACCCTGTTTCGAACCCCTCCCCATGACAATATTTATAGTATCGAAAAGTGGAAATAGCTCAAAAGCTTATCTACTGATTGATAACAGGGTGCATCCCAGGAGTGGAATGCTACTCAGCTGTAAAGAGGAACTATACCCTAACAACTGCCCCAGCATAGATGACCCCTGTGACTAGGATGCTTGCCAGCTGTAGTAATGCATGCCTACAATCCAAACACTTGACAGACGGAAGCAGAAGGATTTTGAGTTCAAGGCCAGCCTGGGCTACTCGCTGAGACCTGTCTCAAATGTTCAAATGGAAGTGGATTCTTAGGAGGAAGATGGTGGGAAGAGCCATGTATCCTTTGAGTCCACCAGTGTGAAACACCAAGAGTAAACAGGTCCACAGACAGAAAGTGGATTAGTGATGGCTTTGGGGAAAGGGGAGTGAGCTCACCAGCACAGGGTTTCTTTTTGCAGTGACACAAATGTTACAAAATTGAGGTGACAGCTGCAGAACTGAATATATGCAAAAAAATATATGCAAACTGATATATGTAAAATATATGCTGGAGTGGTGGCTCAGTCGTTAAGAGCACACACTGCTTTTGAAGATGTGAGTTCAATTCCCAGCACACAGTGTGTGGTTCACAACCACCTGTAACTTCAGCTCAGGGAAAATCTGATGCCTCTGACCTCCACAGGTGTGCATTCATGTGCATGTCTCCACACACAAAGACACATTAAAAAATAAAGAAAATAAAAAAATTTTATATGCTTGCTCAGCATAGAGACTCTGGGTTTAATCCCAGGCATCACACACACAGTTTTGTTTTTACTTTTAAAGAAACTGAGTTTCCAAGGACTATTATTTCTGTGACTGAAGCGTAAACCCGCTTTGGGGTTGAGCCTGGATTCTGTGATTCATTTGTCTCCTCACTCCAAGGCTTGCTTCCTTGTTTTCTACCCAGTTGAGCCCTGTAAGTCCCATGACCTGCAGAGAAGCCAAGGTTATGCAACAGCCACAGCTAACTGTTGGAGAGGAGCCATCATACCTGGGACTCAACTACACCCTTGGCTCAACAACATCCTTG